TCAATTATCATCTCTTGCTGTTGTTGTCACCTCTGGTGTCTGGCTTTCTCGCCTTGGTCACATTTCTACCTCTAGGTTAGGATCTTTAATTTCTAATGGATGTTTGGGTCCTGTTAAAACAACCATTTTGATTGTGTTTCATGTCCTCTTTCAAAACATCATGCTTTGCCTTTTAATATAAGTGATTCTGTTTCTTTTGCACCTTTTGATCTTGTTCATTCTGATATTTGGGGACCTTTGCCTCATAATACCATGGGTGGTTCGCGTTATTTGGTGATCTTCATTGATGATTTCTCTTGCTATACATGGATTTATCTCATGCGTAATAAATTTGAATTACCTGAAATTTATATTCAATTTGCCACCATGATCAAAACTCAGTTTTCTTCTATCATCAAAATTTTTCGCACTGATAATGACATGGAATATAGAGATTCTATCCTTATCCAATTTCTTTCACAAAATGAAACTATCATTCATAGATCTTGTCCCGGTACCTCTCAACAAAATGGGCATGCAGAATGAAAACATAGGCATATTCTTGATACTATTCGAGCTCTTTTAATCTCTTCCTCTTGTCCTGAACGATTTTGGGGGGAAACAACCCTCATTGCGGTTTATACCATCAACCGCATTATTTCTCCTGTTATTGGTAACATTTCTCCTTATGAACGATTGTATGGCCATTGCCCTGATTACCAGTCTCTTCGTGTATTTGGTTGTGCTTGTTTTGTTCTATTACAACCTCATGGACATACCAAATTGGAACCAAAAGCACGTCTATGTTGTTTTCTCGGGTATGGTATTGAACATAAAGGATATCGATGTTGGGATCCTCTTTCCCAACGACTTCACACATCTCGTCATGTTACCTTTTGGGAACACAAAATGTTCTCAAATCTCTCCCCATTTCGAGTTACCACATCTTCACATTTTTTCACTGATCCTACTATTTCGCTTTTTCCTGATGATTTACTTGCAGGTCCGACTACTTCTTCCTCTGATAGCTCTAACAATACTGCACAACCTGCAACCTCTCCGACTGCATCTACCTTGGCTATGGATCCTCCAGCTCTACCTTCTTCTGAGCCCTTGATTGCTTCTGATGAGTCCGACTCTGACCGTTCTGATGCTCTACTCCGTCGTTCTGGTAAGGTCACTAAACCTTCTGTTCTTCTTCATGATTTTCATTGTTATTCTACCATTGTATCTTTATACGAGCCTTGCACCTATCATGTTATGATCACACCATCTGGCCCCGCACGGCAGCGGCACCATGGCGCGCAGCACACACCGCCAGGCAGCAGCGCACACCGCACGGCAGCACGCACTGCCGTGCAGTGCGTGCGGTGCGCTGCCTGGCGGTGTGTGCTGCGCGCCATGGTGCCGCTGCCATGCGGTGCCGGATGGTGTGATCATAACATATCACGAGCACTCATACAAGCACTCTATGGCAGAAAGCAATGGCAGAAGAAATTCAAGCTCTTACAAGCACTCATACTTGGGATTTAGTTGACTTGCCTCCAGATAAATCCGTAATTGGTTGTAAATGGGTCTACAAAATCAAGACCCGGGTAGATGGTTCAGTTGAGAGGTATAAAACTAGATTGGTAGCTAAAGGGTTCACACAGGAGTATGGCATTGATTATGAGGAGACTTTTGCCCCGGTTTCCCATCTCACCTCTGTTCGCAGTCTTATTGCAATTATTGTAGCTAAGCACAGGCAGCTATTTCATATGGATGTTAAGAATGATTTTCTCAATGGCGATCTTTCTGAAGAGATTTATATGCAGCCCCCTCCTGGTTATGATCATCTTCCTAATCAGGTTTGTCGTCTCCGTAAGGCTCTATATGGACTTAAGTAGGCGCCTCGAGCATGGTTCTCCAAATTCAGCTCTATTGTTTGTCAGTTTGGTTTTAAATCCAGCACTTATGATCATGCCTTGTTCATCCGTAAGACCTCTCAGGGTTGTGTACTTCTCCTCCTTTATGTGGATGACATGATCATTACTGGCGATGATTTGCAGGGCATTTCCGCTCTTAAGACTTTTCTTAGCAAACAGTTTGAAATGAAAGATTTTGGTCGCCTCAATTATTTCCTAGGCGTTGAGGTCTCCTCCGACCAATCGGGGTATTATCTGTCTCAGGCCAAGTATGCTTCTGATCTTATTTCTCGTGCAGGACTCACTGATACTAAGACTGTTACCACTCCGATTGAGCCTAATGCCCATTTTACAGCCACTGACGGTATTCCTCTTAGTGAATGCACCTTATATCGGCAATTAGTTGGCAGTCTTGTATACCTTACTGTTACTCATCCTGATATTGCGTATGTTGTTCATATTGTAAGTCAATTCATGTCTGCCCCTCGCACTACTCATTATGCTGCTATGCTTCGTATCATTTGTTCTGTCAAGGGCACTTTGTTTCATGGACTTCACTACTCCAGTTCTTCCTCTCTTCAGCTGATCGCATACTCTGATGCTGATTGGGCTGGTGATCCTACTGATAGACGCTCCACTACTGGTTATTGCTTCTTTCTTAGAGATTCTCTTATATTTGTCGTAGTAAGAAGCAAACGGTTGTTTCTCATTCTAGTACTGAAGCTGAATATCGAGCTCTTGCTGACACTACCTCTGAGTTGTTATGGTTACGATGGTTACTCCATGACATGGGACTTACTCATTCATCTACGACCTCACTTTACTGTGATAATCGTAGCGCCATACAGATTGCCCACAATGATGTATTCCATGAGCGCACTAAGCATATTGAGATTGATTGTCACTTTATTCGTCATCATGTGCTCAAGGGTACTGTTCGCCTTGTTCCTGTCGGATCAGTCAGCCGATATATTTACCAAAGCTCACTCTCCTCTTCGCTTTCGTGCTCTAGTTGGCAAACTCTAGATGATTGATACATTACCATCTTGAGTTTGAGGGGGAATGTTAGTATTCTATCAAAATTACTATTCTAGAATTAAGGAGAGATAGTTCTATCACAATTAGTATCCTATCATTATCTCCTTAATTCTAGGAGAGATAATTTTATCGAAAATTGACTGTACATTTCCTCTTTGTATTCTAACTTAGGTAGCCGACCTTGTATCTCTAGCTCTATTATAAATAAGGGTTGTAACCTGTTGAATGTGATATCAAAAATTATTATTTTCCCACTTGTCTTCTTTACTTGTTCGTATCATCCATTATGCCTTCTTTAATATTTTTCCAACAGATTCCCATTGAATTTGACGAGATATATTCCTCAATTCAATATGGGGCATTATACTATAAAATGGATCAAATCGAATTCAAGCAATGGTGGATGATATTATTCTAACCGATCCGACAACAATCCAAGAGGTCCGAATTCGATAACGGATATAAAACATAGATTCAAATTAAAAGATGCGATCCCTTTGCAACCTTAAATAAAACCTTTTCAATCGAGGGCAGTTTTGTTACCTGGAATTTTTAATAGTGCTCGTTGATCTCATAACCCAAAATCCATCCATGGATGGACAGGAACAACATAGCCAATAAGGCTTCAGACGAGTGTGTTTGGTTGATTACTAGTGATGGATTCGCGTGGACTTTTCTCCACCATAGAATCTTTAAGGGTAAATTATGAATACCCCTTTTGTATTATGGGTCAATGATAAATACCCCCTAAATTTTTATTTACCACAAATATTCCTTAAATTTTCATTTTGTGGCAAATACCACCTAACCGTTAAGTTAGATGATAGATGCATTAAATTATCAAAATTTTTATATGAATTTTTCTTATTTTCTTTTTCTCGTCTTCTTTTTTTTTTAACTCTAATTGATCAAAAGTAGGGGTGGATTTGAGTCGAGCTGAGCCAAATAGTATGAGACTAGAGCTTGGCTCGCCAAGGTAATATAAGGCCCGAGCTCAAGTTTGAGCTCGGTTCAAGCTAGAACCTTAAGCTTGAGCTCGACTTAAGAAAAAAATGTTTTATAAAAATAAAAAAATTATATAACAAATATTTTTATTTGATATTTAAAAAATTAAGAATTATAATAATTATTTATTATATATAAAAATAAAAATATTATATATATATTATTTTCTATATTATTATTATTATTATTATTATTATAATATGTATGTATGTATGTATGTATGCATGTATGCATGTATGTATCTAGCTATTCAAGCTTGGCTCACAAGTCTCACGAGCCAAGCTATATTAGGCTTGAGCTCGACTCGATTATTAGAGTCTATAAATTTGGGCTTGAATAGCTCATTAAGCTCTCGGCTCGTGACCACCCCTAATCAAAAGTACCTCTATTTTTTCAAAATGAAACTAGTTAAAATAACAAAAATCATTTCAATGATATAGAAACAAGTTTCTTTTTTTTTTAATTCTTGATTCATTTTTCTCTAATAAATCAAGAAAAAACAAACATAACCATAAATTTATATCCATCATAAAGAAACCTCTACCATTTCATTTAAATATTGAATTCAGCCAAAAATCTAGAAGGATCTATTGGATCAATCAAGAGGACTTCAATGCTATATTTAAAAAATGAATTAAATCATAAATCATAAAAAATGAATTAAATCATAAATTGTTCAAATAAATAATAAAAATGATAGTTTAACATAATAAAAAAATTTAAACAACTAAATGAGAATGAGAGTAAAAAATGCAATTGGCATGGTTTGAACCCAAATCACCCAACCTACTCTTGCCCAAACATGCTTTACTTTGGATTTATGATGGGATCTGATGCATTTATGCTGGTATAGTGGTATTATCGTACCCTTTTTTTGTTTGAAGTTAAAAACTCTGACAAAGGGTATATTAGGGGAATCCTCCTCTAAATGAAAGTTCAGGGGGTATTTGTCACTCACTCCATAGTAAAATAGTAAAGGGGTCTTTGTAATTTTTACCCTTAATAAACTTAGGGTTTTTGTTCCGTCCTACTTGCCAGGTGGCTGATGGATGAATATGCCACACGACAAGAGGTGATTTGGCAGTCTTGAGGAGCTTCTGGCAGTGTGCATCGTTTTCCTACACGGCTCCCGCCTGGCGAACCAGTACCAGTACCGTGAATTCTTGATTGATTAGGTTTTAGGCTTCTAGCTTCTGGGGTGTTTTCCCTTTTGGGTTTCTGTAACGAATTTACCAATTTGGTGCGTCCGTCTCTTTGGATGGCCATGTGATATAACGCCCACTTGCATTTGCGGCGGGGCTGGCTACATAGTTCATACCGCCTTCAGAATCTTTCTTCTCAGCTTCATCTGGGTTTTATACTTTTATTCTACAGTCCTTGCTTGCATACTCTCCGTTCCGAACGGGTTTAATACTTCGATGGCTGCATGTAAGCTCTCTTTCTGTCTCTGTCTCTGTGTCTGTCTCTGTCTCTCTCTCTGTCTCTGTCTCTCTCTCTGTCTCTGTCTCTGTCTCTGTCTCTCTTCTCTGAAATGTTTATTTTCTATGCAGATTTTGGATTTCATTATGTTTTGTAAATCTGAAATGGGTGTCCGAGGAATCAAGTTTTTGTTAGGTTACAATCCTACAGTTTGAGAATTTTTGGAGAGAGTTCTTCTGTTTACTGTTATTGTTGCTTTTGTTTTGATTTTTTTTTCTTTTGTTGGAAGGTTATTCTCATCTTTGCCATCAATTTGTTGGGAATTCTTGTTTATTTTCTTTTATTTTCCATCCTTAATCAATAATCATATTACGAAGAGTACGATAGTCTGTTTAGGAGTGAATTTTTCTCCTCCCAAAATTAACACAATTGTCCTTTTCAATAGAAAAAATCGAAATTACCGTGGTTACTGGTCTTAAGACTATAGTAGCTCGCTTCTACGCAGATTCCACATTTGTTCTGAATTTGAAATGCAAATGTCTTTGGAATGAAGTCCTGTATCTCATATTGAGCTACCCATTTCAATAAATAAGTTTCTGTATTTCAGGGAAAAACATGAAAGAAATATGGGCTTCTGAATCTATTTACAAGTGGTGCATTTTGTTCTCATGACTTTCAACATATAACCAGGTTGTTAGGGTTTTCTCAAGGAGGACTAATGTGCAAGAACTTTTAAGAGGAAAAAAATCCAAAACGGTTTATTTTGTTCTCTTATTTGACATAATCCCTACAAACTTGGGTTTCATGGCATTTTCTCTTTTATTTTTGGGAAAGGAGAGAGTTTCTTGTATTACATGTCAAAAAACTGCATGCATCCATGTACACATATAGCCAATATACTACAACAAGCTATTCAGTAGAATGCTTTGTAGCTTCTGTAAAGAAAAGAAAAAGCTTTTGAATCTATTTTTCTATTTTACCTTAAAATGTTCAATTTTTTTGGGTGTGGTTGAGTTATGGACTCCTCCCCCCCCCCCAAAAAAAAAAAAAAAAGGAGAGTTATGGACTCCATGTGTGGTTTTCTGCTTCTTTAATTATATGTATCGTTCTTGGGTGGACTTCTAGGGGCCATTGCTTCATCTAATGGAAAATCTAAGGCTGACATGTGTCAGAATGCAGGTTTATATCTGAGAGAAGCTACTTTGTGCTAAAAATGCCAAATGTTTAGTCTATATCCAATTCACCCCTCCCATGACTCTAGAAAGCTGGGAGCATAGGACCAAATGAATGTGTAGAGGAATGGAGAAGTATGGGCAATCCTACAAAGATTAGCAAGTTGGACTTGCAGAATGTAAAATTGAGTTGCTGAAATTTCTTCATGTACTTTATTTTATTTTATTTTCCCTAGACACGAAATGACTCAGGAGGGGGTGGAAGACCTACACCAGAGTATGTTTGAAATCTAGTTTGTAAGGGGCTTCATCAAGAAGACCCAAACTCTGCGTGGGCTCTTGAAGGAATTGCATTTCTCCTAGGAAAACCAAAGGAAATTTCTTCTTTCCAACAACTTCATTCTTTCTAAGCAGTTTTATCAATGTGGTGAGGTGATGACTAGTTGTTTTGGTCTCTCTAGTTGATGCAATGATCAGTGAATGCTTTGGTGCTTTCAATAAAAAAAAATATTTTCTGAATTTAAGATATAGGATCAATTTTATAAATAAGTTAATAAAAACTACAATTATGCAAAAAAAAATAATATTGGACATGTTTTGCAAATATGAAAAAGTTAGGCTAGATAGTCTAGGATAGGGAATTACAGCCTTTGTTTTCCAAAAAATGAGTGAAGTCATGGCTATTTGATGTGGCCTTTGTTTTTAGCAACTCCACATTAGCACTTCATTGGTTAGTAGAAAATTTAAAGGAACTTCATTGCCTTATTTTATTTAATGCATATTTTTTCTATCTTATATACTATCAGCTAATCTTGTTCCATCACAAATATCTGACATAACAATATGATAATAACAAAATACAGGCATATTTATAATATTTCAACTAATTATAAATACAAACAATCAAATAATTAGAAATATTTTTATCCCAGTCTGTTTGCAATAGCCCAAAATAAAGAGGCCAGAATAAGTGATTGCTTTGAGGTAGCTGACAATCAGATGGTGTGGAGTCCATGTTTCAGAAGGAATGTTAATGACTGGGATTTACACAATATGGTGGCCCTTCTGGATGCTTTACATCACTCCAGTATTCATCCTCTTGGGAATGATTGTATGTGGTTGAATGGGGACAACTCAGGAAAATTCACTGTTAAATCTTTTAATCACATCTTGTCCAAACATTCTTGTATACTAAGTTCTTTTATTTTATTTTTACAAAATTGGCACTTACTTCCTCTAGGTGTGCACCTCAAATTGCACCTTCTGCCTCATGCTTTAGGAGGGAAGCACCTTATTTGTGATTCTTGCTTTTAAAACACTGGTATTATATTGATAAAAAATACTGGTATTATGCTTATATGAAATTAGGAAAGGCAATTTGAGTTTCTTATTTAAAACTCTGCAATCTCAATTGGAGCTATATTAGGTTTATAGATAATCTCATAAAAGGTTATCTTGTGTAGATGTACATGTATCTTGTTCAACATCATCATCATCATCATCATGAATTTATGATGTAAGCCTTGTCCCAGCTATATGGGATCGGCTACATGAATCCTGTTTCATGATTCCATTCTGTGCAGTGCCATATCCATTGCTAAATTTTGAGCCCTTAAACCATTTCTTACTGCTTCATTTATGTTTCAGTTCTTATTTCAGGTAATTTAGGATGTGTTTCAAATGCTAGACTGTCCAGCTTCTACATGGACTTTGGTAGAACCAGATCTGCTAGTATGCAAACATCCTATGCAATTAGAAGTTGGGGGAGGCAGAAACAACCACAATATGCAGGTTTTATATCAACAAAGCAAAAGAAGCCATTATCTGTAAGCTGCAGCTCATCTTCTGAAGTTGAAAGTATGTTCTTTTTTTCTAATAAATCTAGTTGTTTACATCTTCTGCTTGCCATAATCAATAATGCATTCACTTCCAGCCTTGGTGATTAGAGAACAAGTAAATTAATTGGGAGGCATCTTTTCTTTGATGCCCTTTATAGGGTGAAAGGTTCTTTCCAAATGGATTTCTGTGGTAGACCCATCTTCATGGTTCAGCATGTGAGGACTGATATGATTCTTTACTCTTGATGACTTGTCAAAAGTTATTTATGTGATGAAGGAGTAGTGAGTATTGCTTCATTTCTCTTTCATATCAAAATTCAAACATTTAGGTTCATACTGTTACTTGTCAGAGCGTTATGTGTGTTTGGTTTATTGTCCGAACCCATCTCTTTTGATCCTTTCCTGGAAGATAATGGGTTTCAATCATATGGCAATTTAAGTTCACGTGTCCTAACCCAGTTATTGAATTCTCAAATTGTGTGTTTTCCTCCTACCTGTTGGTCCTACTTTCTTGTCAATTGTAGGATTGCTGGAATGGCATTTTCTTTTCTTGTTCTTTGAACATTCACTGTGCAAATGTGGTTTATAAATATCCACTAGCTCCAGCTGTACTCACATTCACTATAGAGTTTTTTTTTTTTCCGCTTTAAACATTACTAAATCATTTCCTTACCAAAAGAACATAGAAACTCTGATTTATAAAATCATTTTGTCTCCAAAGAGAAAGATCTATTAATTGAGTTACTATTCTTGATAGAGCCTAATGTAAGTGCCACCGTCTGAGTTGAATCCAAGTTTTTGAATGCTTTAGGCTCTTTGTTCATATGTTCATGTATTTGAATAACCGAATTATCACCTAATCTACCTTTGTTGATCAGCTGCTGCAGATTTAGATAGTTTGCAAGAGAAGAAATCCAATGGGATAACACGCCAAATCATCCCAAATTCAACTGAGGTGAGTAGCCATGTGTATTTATTTCTTCCATACCATTGATAAACTGTTGATTTCCTCTCTACTGCTTCTCCTGGAAGGTTTCTTAAACATCCAATTTGATAATATAGTTAGTTCTTCTCTTCCATGACTTTAGTGTGCTATTGTTTGCATGAGCACATTTACCTTGTTACTATGTGAAGTAACAGTTGTCAAACTATTTGAGAGTCAACATATATCTTGCACACTAGGGGAATACAATGTTCTTGTTAATTAGACCTAAACTCTCAGCATACTAATGATGACCTATGTTAATAGACACAGCATGGACAGGGTATTATACATGGAACTTTACACTAAAAATGAACTGTCAATGTAAGATAGATGGAAATATGGTTATTTATATTGTTCCACCACCAAGACAATGGAACCCATCGTTTAGTAGATTCCCACTTTGAAGTTTGAAGGTATAGACATGCCCTATGGATGATTCTTGTTAGGCATTTAAAATAAAAAGAATTCCACCAATATTTTTTTCTTGTTTTAAAGAAAGAAAAAATGAATGATTTTTTGTTGATATTGAAAGATAGATGAGTCCCATTTCAAATCATGCATTCGACATTTGTTTTCCATCTATTGAATAATCTTCATGTTGTTTACTTCTCATTCTGTTGTCAATTAGAACCTGAATCTGAAACTGTGAAGGTGGGGCACACATTTTATGGCTAGTTTAGTCACAAAATGATTTTTTTTTTCTTCTTTAAAGTTTAAGTATTCCTGATCTTCCTCTGAAAATTAAATCTCTTTGGCAACAATGAGTAGATGTCTCCCCTCCACCCCCCCCACACACATTGTAATTCTATTAGAAAGTCAAAGAAGTTGAGTATTAACCATAGGCAAGGTTTAAAATTTCGACATGATACACTCAATATGGGGCATATCGTATTGGATCTTTGAAAAGTCGATATGGGATATGGTGGGAAATAGGTGGTATCGTCTTTTTTTTCACCGTGTTGGACCCGTATCAGACTGTATTGGACATGTATTGGGGGGGGTGTTTGGTGGCGTATCGGGTGTATCAGTCAATTCACTGCAAAAAATGAAAAAAGGGGGCGGGGGAAGAAGGCTTCTTTCCCCTGAAATAATCCCTCTTTCACCCCCAAACGACTCTAGAACTCCAAACCTCATTCCTAGAGTGCTAGGTTTGAAAAAAAAAACACAAGAAACAGGTGTGAATCATCAAGGTTTTTGAAGATTCTTCAAGTTCTGAAAAATATTGCAAAAATAGGCAAGTTTTTTAGTTATAAATTATAGTTAAGCATAGGATTTTTTAATGAAATTTATAATTGACTACGATGTAGTTTTTCATAAAACCCATTAAACTATATTAATTTAATGTATGCATTACCTCATTAAGGCTTTATATTTAGTGTTATTGGTGTTATTTTTATGATTTTTTGAAGTATTTATAGTGTTTCCATGCGTATCAATGTGTATCTTAATTTTTCTTTGATACACATGAATATCCAACGCATATCCTGATACGTCTCTTAAAATTGCCTTTTTGATACACTTGGGTTTCCAATACTTTGAACCTTGACCTTAGGTTATATTCTTTTAGTAGAGACTATTTTCCCTGTTGAGCATATTGTTTTCCATCTTTTAATCAAAACCATTTCCCTAACTCAGGAAACAGTTATACAGGACCTATAAAATTCATGGTTATATCTGCTAAATGCATTGATAGAGATTAGGTTACATTTTGTATTTACAAATTTAGCTTCACAAATTACTATCTATAGTTCCTTTTTTTTGTTAGTTTTTCATGTAAAGAATAGCATTGTGTTGTAATATTTTATAGTTCTGCTGTCTAGTTCTTTATATCACTTTATATCTCTTTATGGACTTGGTAACTCAGACTTGTAACTTAGTACCAAGGACATTTGACCTAATATTATCTTTCTGTGTCTTAACTCTCTCCTAGTGTCTTAATCATAGAAATATACTCCTAATTCAGGCTTTCCAGTAATCAGTTCCAGTATTTTAATCCAAATAAATAAGAAATATTCCTGGTGAAAGCGAGGGGTTTGCATGTTTCACATCTTATATGTATACCACATCCATCTTCTTCTGGAAGGCCAGATTTTCCAATCAACTGATAGCATGACTGTGAGTTTTGTTTTACAAGAGTTGAAGTATACTACACAATTGAGTTTGCTTATGCTAGAGTGTCTTGTCAGAAATAGGAGCCATTGATGTATCTTACACCACCCTGATTTTTCTCTGTCACAAGTGTTAAAATATCTCTCATCCATGTTTCAGATACTGCAGATGTTGATCTGATTTTACTTCATCCATAACTTTTTTTTAATGAATTTCTTCCTTAACGTTTTTCAGGTGCAAGCTTTGCTCACAGAAATCTGTGATACCACTTACATTGCAGAATTTGAGTTGAAAGTAAACAGTTCTTGACTTTAGAACTTAAGCCACAATCTTGATTTAGTTTTATATATATATATATATATATTTTTTTTTTCTACTTTATTTTATCACTTCATGCCTTTTGGTATGCCTAGCTTGCTGGTTTTCGGCTATATGTGACAAGGGACGTGGCTGGAAAAAGTGCACCTCCACCTCCTCCAAGCTCTTTACCTGCCAATGTTAGTACGACCTCAGATGCTCCTGCTTTAAATGGGTCAGTTTCTACACCCTCGCTAGCCATAGCCAAAGCAGTTCCTTCTTCAGGAGAAATTCAGAGAATGCTCAATAAGGATACAGATGAAAGCCTGGTGATACTACAGTCCCCAAAGGTGAGTCTGAATATTAATTACTGTTTTTTATTCTTAAGGTCTTGGTACTAAAACTATTGTGATGCAGGTTGGATATTTTAGGAGATCTAGAACAATCAAAGGGAAGCGTGCACCTCCATCCTGTCAAGAGGTATACCAGTCGCCATCAACAAACATCACTTGTAGATTGTTCTTTTCAGTAATCTGGAATATTTGACTCTGAATGTCTGTAAGGTCCATTTTCTGACACAATTTGGAAAAATCAAAAGGTTTGATACTTGAATTAAATTACCAAATTTTAGGATGTTTGTTGGGGTGGAGGATGGAAAGGAAACTATGGGTTTAATTGGTTTGCTCTTAAACTCCATCAAAGGCCATCAAAGGGAACAATTGTTCTTAAACTATTGGTTTAATTGGGGTCTTGGAAGGGGTGGACTGGATATGGTCCTAACCTTTGGCATATTTTTTACACAGAGTAGCTGCTCTCTTGACAAACCCTCATTCTCAATGCTTGATTGCACGGGATTTTACCATTACACCAAGTAATGGCCCCTAGTGTATTAACTCCATCACAGTTTATGAAAATGAAAAATATAGGTTGATTTTAATTTTACTGTTTTTTTGGGTGGTTGTGATCTTTGAGTTATTTTGATATTCTCAAACACACTTCAATAGGGCTACTTCCCCATCAACTGTACCATTGTCCTTATCAAATTCGAATGGAGAATAATCATTTATAGGCTTCTTATTTTATTGTCTTTAACTTGGAAATGGATATGGAAGGCACATGTTTCATCCAAGGTTTCTTTCTTCATTATGGAAGCTAGATCATTAGCAGCTAGGATTTCTTTCAGTTAGGTTTTGGGATCAGCTTGCTCCCTAGTAGATGGCATACTAAGGGATGTTGTAGTGAGAGGAGGCTTCACATTGAGGGATGAGTATGCTGGATTAGGATATGTATTGGTTGACATGTTTGTGGATCATCCTTGAGAAGTGTTATGGCACTTCCTCTCACATCTAATGAAGGTAGGTTTCTTGTATCTCCAGGAAACCTAATAGCAGCCATGGCCTATTGAGATGTCATTTGTTGATAATTGTGGAATGTGGACAATCAAGATAGTGAGATATTGAAAATTATCAAAATTTCCAAGACTAGTATGCCTATAGAGAGCTTATGGAGGCCTTAACCAAGGGAGTGAAATTGTCCTAAAATTTCAGAAGATTAAGGTAGAAAGGAGATTCATGGATGAAGAGGTGCAAAGTAGGGGTGCTCATGGTTTGGTTAGCTGAACCATGGGCTTATTTTTGAAACCAAACTGGGATTACCGGTTTTTGGAAAATTGGTAACCAAAGCGGATCGGTTAACCGGTCGACTGGTTTGGTTAACCATTAGTTCAGTTTGTCATTTTTTTATTATTTTCAATATATATTATAAAAAAAATATATAAAAATAAAATACTAGAAATATATATAAAATATTATATTTTAAATAATAAATAATATATTATTTATTATAAATATATATTTATATATAATTCATATTTGTTAATTTATAATGTATAGAAAATATAAAATGTAATATATATAATATACATAATATATATTGGTTGGTTCGGTTAACTGCCGGTTTTCTATTTTGGTTAATTGAAAGTCTGAAACCAAACTAGTACCTTTGGTTTTTTTTTTTTTTAAATACCGAACCGTAACCAAACCGATCGGTTCGGTTTATCGGTTTTTCTTGCTCACCCCAGTGCCATAGTTGTCAAGGCGACGCCTAGGCGACAAGGCGCACTTTGAGGCTCACCTCGCTTAATCGCCATACAGTTTTGTACTATGTATTATAAAATACTTTTTTATTGTTTATTTTTTGACATTATACTAATAAAATAGGCACTATTAAACTAAAATATTCATTTTGTGTGTTTATATACTAATTTCTTTTTATTATTTTCTTATTTGTTAGGGTTTAATCAATATAAACATTGCTATATGCTGTATTGAACCCCCAAAGACTTTAAAACCTGAACCAGTAAGTAAGGAAGAACTTAAAATTTTGTCTAATCAACACATTTTCCTTTCTTCTTTTCCTATAACAAAACTAAGGGTTCAGCCCCTATATTTTTTGAATTTTCTTTTCCTTCTTTTTCTTCTCATGAATATGTTGATTTTCTATACTTTAACATGAACTCTATACTTTTCTTATGAAAATTATGAATAATTCTTAAAGAAATATGGTTATGGTACATAGGGAACTACCTTAGGATCTATGTTTTCTACATAAAAAAAATCCATCGCCTAGGTGACTAGGCGACAAGGCACCCCCCTGTCACCTAGCCTCGCCTTGGCACCTTGAAAACTATACCTAGTGCAGAGTGCTTTTTTTTCCTCAATGGTATTTTCAATGGTCTTATTTCAAGAGTATTGGGGTACAATGAAGAGTCCCATAAATGGATCTTTTTTTGTTATTTTTTTTGTGGAATCTGAAAATGACACCACTTCAAAGTCCTAATTTGCAAAAAGGAGCTTTGTGTTGAAAGATTATTGTCTCTTTATTCTAGTGAATCTACCAATGTTTTAAAAGGCGTGGGAGGTGTATGCCTGGAGGTGCTCCCAAAACGCCTTGAGGTGTATGCCAGAGGCGCTGACACCTCTGAGGCGTATGCCTCAAGTGTAAGAGGCATACACCTCTTGCGCTTTTTTCATGAGGTGTGCTAGAGGCGTACGTCTCATGCACCTCATGCACATCTTATATAAAAAGACAGAAAAAAGAAAAAAAAAGGAAAGGAAAGGAAAGGAAAGGAAAAGAAAGGGAAGGGAAAGAAAAAGAAAGAGAAGACAAAAGGAGAAAAGGAAAGAAAAGAAAAGGGAAGGGAAGAAAAGATAAGGGGAAAGAAAGTGGTTTGCCACTTTGCCCCTGTCTCTTCGGCTGGGGGGCTTCGCCCCCAGACCCCGCCCCCTTTTTGATGCAGCCCAATTTAGCCTCCATGTTTTAAAACATTGGAATCTACAACTTTATTGAAGAAAACCCTTTGGTAAGATGGATTAGATAGGTAATAATTGTGAGCAAAATCAGTTTTTAGAAGGTAAAAGGGTTCATTTTAAAATGGAAAAGGGTTGTCCAGGTGTCCTAAAATAATTTACTAGGAGTTAATAGTCATAAAGAAGTTGCTTTAGCAAACCAATCCCAAATTAAACAAAGATTTGCAACTGAAGAGCCCAACATGATTTAGAGTCCACACCCTACTATCCACACCCCCATCCCCAATAACCACAGAATTCAGCAATGTAAGTAAAGCAGACACACTGGGAATTTTAGATTCTCTAAGGCTTCTAGTGAAGCCCAAGTTCCAGGTCAACTCGAGAGGGGAGAGTGGGGGACTAATAAATTCTAACACTGGTCTACCTTTGAGATTGGAAAGAGTGTAAAGAGAGGGAAAAGTCTCCTTCAAAGGGGATTCCCTGAGCCAAATATCTTCTCAAAACCTAGTTTTCTGACCCATGACAAAGTCATACCTGATATGGCTGAAGAAGTTAGGAAGAGAGTCATGGATGGATTTCCAAGGAGTAGCCATGACAAAGCCCATGCACACTTGCCACCACTTTATGCCAAAGCCTTAGGTACTCTTATGAGTCAGAGTTGCTGATAAAAAATAAATAAAAATAAAGAAGTTGCTTTATACTGTGTTTGGTATTCTGAGAATTATTATGGGTGTTTTCTGAATTTCATTTAAGTTAAAAATTGCACACATGCACTTCTAACTTGGTCCTAAAAAGGACTTAATAGAAGATAAGAAAAAGAAGCTGTATCTCCTTATAATTTATTCGATAATTAACTTCTACCTGTCTGTACGGACAGGACCTTCAGATTTATGAAGTAACCATAATTGGCCTTTTTCCTTTTTATCATAACCAAAGGAGAGAAGACCTTATTTTTCTGGAAGTCAAACACACCCTTTGTATTCCCTGGGTTCCTTTGGAATGGTGATGCCATGGCCATTCCTTGGGAAATCACAGGCTAGCTGGTATTTAATGAATCTTTACCAATCTCAATAGTAGCACATTAGGTCTTCAATGGCCCCATTACAGATCCAGACCTCCAGTGAATTGTATCTAATTAAGCTTCTCTGACTCTAGAATTTCTAAGAGAATGTGACTCTCCTCTTTGACCATTAAAGGTGATTCAGCAAATGATATTGGTTGGAGTAGGAGAGTAGAAAGCAGACCATAGAGATTGGCCCATTTCCATAATGGAAACAGAGAAATCTTATCATCTTTGAACATCCAAACCGGGTGGATCATAAGAGAGATGAATACAATTGCTGATTACAGGAAAATCATCTTTGTATACGACACTGAACAGCTATTTAACTTATTTTTATTTCCAGGGGAGGGTTGTTGGGAGCTAACTTGTTCTGTTTTACACATCATTTTATATCTTCTCATGCATACCTCTTCTTCTTTGCATCCGATACAATCTTAAATTAGCATTTTTTAAATAAAATAAAAGAGTAGATGACGAAAAGAAAAATAAATATAAATATATAAAATATCTATTGATATAGCCTTTCTGTCATTTCCAGAAACAAGTAGTGAAGGAAGGCCAAGTACTTTGCTTTATTGAACAGCTTGGTGGCCAGATCCCGATTGAGGTTTGGATCCTAAGTTCTATTACTTTTATGGTTCTTTTTGTTTATGGCCACTTGGCCAGAAACAAGTAGTTTTGCACGTCCCTTGGACTAGTTGTTTTCTTTCTTTTACTTAAAAAAGAGTAAAGTTTCATGTCATTATTGCTAAAAATAACAAATGCTGATTCTGGACTATCATTTTCCAGTCTGATGTTTCTGGGGAAGTTATAAAGATACTGAGAGACGATGGTGGTATGTCTGGTCTTGTTTCTCTATCATTCCACTCTATGTTCGAGTACTTTATTGTATCATGTTTTTACTTGGTTTCTCTGCTTACAGAGCCTGTTGGATATGGTGATGCTCTTATTGCCATTCTCCCCTCTTTTCCTGGAATCAAGAAACTTCAGTAGGCAATTTGGATCGAGAAAACAGCTTCTATTAACACATTGTTATGTTATTGAGACTTCTATATGCATCATTTATACAGACTATTTATTCGATTTATTTGTTTTATTTATCATGTTTTGCTTGGAGTTGGAACCTACATTACTTGTCATGTGACAAATGTCATGACAACTAGGATTGATGAACAAATAAGAATTGTTAATGGCACGAGCTCTCATTACTGCACCACCTTGATTCATCCATTCTCCTAGATTTCAGATTGGCGCCCCACGTCACATGCACATCTCAACGTGGGAACATCTCCCATACCTGTCGTGGGGAGATAGGTGTTCCCAATACAAGGTTGGGATGTGGTGTGGGGCGCCGATGCGAATTCCCTTGCCTATTTATCTACAGATTCTGACCTCAGAGGTGGGTATACATATTTGTATTTGTATTCCTTCCAAACTGAGCCTAAGTGACAACATGGTAAGAGAACTAAATGGGTAATTGTACAACAGAACTAAGCCCATCCTTAATCAATTTATGGCAATAGAATTAACTTTAAGTTGTTTCTGTGTTCCAATCTAAAAAGCTCTCTTATTCAATGAATTTCTTAGGATTGGGCTTGGGTTGTGAGATGTCAACCAGATGGTTGGTAAGGTTTCCTACCAGTTGTAGCGGAGATTTGGGATCGAATTYTACCTGCACTTCGGTTGGGAATGGGCTATCCCTTGTAGCCCTTCAGAAAAAACATATAAAAAAAAGGATTGGGCTTGCCCTACTCCTGCCTTGTCTGCCTAAGTTGCACCCCTAGTTTTTCCTACAGTGAATTGGACCTGTTTCCGGCTCTCATAATGGGCCAAAAGTTTTATAGGTGCAATTCGAATTGGCCCAAACTAACATCCGTTAAAAATTTGACAAAAAACCTAACCCAAGCCTACCTTATGGGAGACTGGACCTGCTCCTTACACAGGGCGCCTCACACTGACCTCACATGCATATCCTACCATACATTGAGAACATCTCCCATACTTATAAGTTATTATTCATATGAAATGTTTCCAATGCAGGATGGATGTACCTGTGAGGCGCCCATGTGTGAGGAGCAGATCTTGTTCCACCTTATGGAGTTGGGATCTGCTCCCAACAAAATGCGTCCATCAAAATCCAATACCTCACAATTCACCATGAGACTGGGACCCATCCTGACTGAGATGTGTTGGAATGTGCTTGTTGGGAGTAGATCCAGATTCCTACCGAAGGTATACCCCTAAAAAAACACTAGTTGTACTTGCATGTGCATTAGCGATTTCGTGTTTCTAGTACAGACATTCGGACGATGTAGACAACGTTTGATTGACGCGATCTAGTAATGTACGGTATTGATCATTTTGTGGGCCCCTTTTTGTTAGATGAGAGGTGAGACTCAAGATCACATCGGCGCCTCACATGCACATCTCATCGTGCATTGAGAACATCTCCCATCGGAAAATGTTTCCACTTTCCGATAATGTGATGTGGGGCGCTGATGTGAATTCGTGAGACCCGGCCAAAGTTAGTTGGCCACCAGAGAGGAAGGCGGGAAAAAGGTGAAAACCCTCGCAGCTTTGCGGTTTTCTTTTCTCAGAAAGCGATAATTTAATGTATACGGTCGATCCTCTTCTTCGCTGTTTTGGAACCGCACGATTGACTGGATCTGAGGATTTGCGCGGCGCAAAATTCTGGCTTCAGCTGCATCTTAGGGGTAATTTAGTCATTTAGAGAATTTAACCGTCCTAATTCGGTGGAATAATCACTATTCACTTGGAACTAGAGTTTTGGACGGTTCGGGGTTTTAGACTTTCCGTTTTTGTTCAACTGGAATTAGGGTTTTGTGGGTCTTGATTCTCGTTGAGAAGTAGGGTTTTTATATTTTAGGCTCGGCCGCTAGGGTTTTTGGGACCTTATTTTAACAAAGGTTGTTGGTGATTTTAGCACAGCTAGGGTTTTGGGCTTCCGGGGGCTTTATGGATACATCCTCTCCTCTTTGAACCAGTACAGCTGGTTGCATTTAAGGTTTTCAGTTATTTTTTTATCCTCATCTTCTTGTTGGGATTCTGCATTATCTCTCTGATTGGGGTGTTGAATTTGATCGTGGTTTCTTTACATCTCTCACAATAGTTGAACTTCTGATCAATTACTTATCTGTTATTTTTCTTCACTTGAAAAATCCTCCACCCTAGTTTTGGCTGAACTCTCATTTATATTAGTATATTTTCTGGTCATTTCCTCTTCTGGGTTTCCGAAATTTTATTGGTGTCTGTGTTTTCTCTGCCATTATTCCTCTGCTTCATCTTTTACATAACCAAAAACCCAGAAAACGGATCCTATATCTACCAATATGAGTGTTCCTGCTCCTCCCCCGTCATTCTTCATGCCACCTTTTGCTGCCGGCGGCGATGCAATAGGATTCTGGCCTCAACTCCCCGTCGATAATGAAAACTCAGAACCTGCTTCTCGTGCGGACTTCCCGCCATTGAAGAGGCCCAGAAGTTTCGAAGATGTCCCCTCAAATTCCTTGAACAACCCGCTTCCGAATCCGAGGGTGCTCCCGCCGAACCCTCCAGTTAACAAAGGAATAAGCAGAATCTTCTTCAAAACCCGTCTCTGTTCTAGATTCAAGGCGGGTACCTGCCCGTATGGGAGCAACTGCAACTTCGCCCATGGAATCGATGATATCCGGAAGCCCCCACCGAATTGGCAGGAAATAGTTGCTGCCCACGCCCACGAGGAAGATCGAGCGGCCGGGAATTGGGATGAAGATCAGAGAATCATCAGTAAGTTGAAGCTATGCAAAAAGTTTTGCAGTGGTGAGGAATGCCCATATGGGGAAAGATGCAATTTCCTTCACGAGGATCCATCGAAGTTCAGGGAAGATTCCGGTAGGTTTAGGGAGAGCTCGGCAATAAGCATTGGGACTACAGGATCTCCAGGGGGTAATGGAACTGGGGTTGATCAACAGGAAGTTAATGGGTCTGGAAATTCCAGCTTTGATGTGAACCGGATGAATCCGAAGCCTGTGTTTTGGAAGACAAGGATCTGTAACAAGTGGGAGACAACTGGTCACTGCCCCTTCGGTGAGAAATGTCACTTCGCTCATGGGCAAGCTGGTAATTTTAGCGGCATCTAATTTTTCTTTGTTTCTACTTTCTGGAGATCCATTAACTATGCTCAAGACTATAGTTATCTGGGGAAGTAGTTCCTCAAACCAAAGCTCTGGCTTCCCCTCTGTTTTCAATTTTCAATCCCAATTTAGCAAATAACTAGCATTTTGATACATGTTTAAGAAGCATGGAATTCTCAACCCCTCTTCTGTGAACTGCCTGTAGCAAAGCTTTTGACCAGGTGGAAGTGATTCATGTTATTTTTCTTCCATAAAAAGACCGTGCTAGATTTATTTTCTTTCAAATTAAAAGATCTGTCAACATTGTATATCAGCATGTCTTCTTTTATGGCGTAGTTATACTGTTGTTGAACTGAATTCAGTGTGGAAAATTTTACACTTGTTGCTGTCGATATGAATAATCTAGGTTATACAGGCATGAATAGCTGTACTACCATGCTGATAAACATAAACACCCAAATGCATTTAATTGTTATTTCACTTGGGAGTAACCTTTTATGGTTCAATTTAGCTCCAAAGGTCGAATTAATGGGAAAGTTCTCCTTTTATGTGACTGCACCAAATACTTGTTTAATTTATGAATATTAAACCAAAGTATGAACTTTGTTATCTGTATCTGTTAACTGGATTTCTAATCATTTTGATTGGTGTGTTAAATGCAGAACTGCAGAAATATGGAGGCCATACTGAAGTAGAATCAGGAAATGCAGGCACCTTTCTGCCCAAACCTCTTCCTAATCTTGCCCAAGATGTATCACCTACTAGTACAGTGATAGGGGCTACCAGTAAGCAGCAGGTGCAGGGTAAAAAGTGCTTGCTGAAGTGGAAAGGACCTGAAAAGATTAGTCGCATTTATGCCGATTGGATTGATGATTTGCCCCTTGCTTACAATTCACCAAACAAAGTTGAGAGCTGATCCTCACATTCAAGTCGTGCTTCCCAGTTAAATTCAGATTTCTGTATGACCAGTTTTCATCAGGATTAGGAAATTTTGATAGGTTTTCACTTCGCAGTCCAGTGGATTTTTGACCATATAGTGATTTGGGTTTTGCTTTGCTTGAGAGAGATGGATAATTAGGTGAGATGTAATTCTTTTCCAATTTTGGTCATTGGATGGGGTTCCTAACCTCATCTAGCTATCTTCATTTTTGTTTTTCATTTCTTGATTGATTTTCTTGATTAAAGGTGAAGTTTAAATGTTCATAAATATAGATAAAAAGTAGCCATCAAATGTAAATTCTGGTTGCCTACGTTTGTATTCTTTCTCCCAATGTCAAGGCGCAGGTTTTATACATTTGCAGTTGAGTTTAGAATCCAATGTATGCAATTGGAAATATATATATATATATATATATATATATAGATAGATAGATAGATAGATAGATAGATAGATAGATAGATGGTTAATGAAAAGTGTTATTTTATCAAATGTTATCCAATTAATGCATGTGATGGAAGCATGAAAAAATCTCTATTGTGCATGAACTGAAAAGTGCAGCAAACCGAGAAGTCAGAACAATTGTAAAAAAACACAAGTAATTCATTTCTTCCCATCTAATTAACCATAATATAACATAATTCATAATCTGATAACAAGTCGTGCTTCCCAGTTAAATTCAGACTTCTGTATGACTAGTTTTCATCAGGATTAGGAAATTTTGATAGGTTTTCACTTCGCAGTCCAGTGGGTTTTTGACCATATAGTGATTTGGATTTTGCTTTGCTTGAGAGAGATGGATAATTAGGTGAGATGTAATTCTTTTCCAATTTTGGTCATTGGATGGGGTTCCTAACCTCATCTATCTATCTTCATTTTTGTTTTTCATTTCTTGATTGATTTTCTTGATTAAAGGTGAAGTTTAAATGTTCATAAATATAGTTTAGCCATCAAATGTAAATTCTGGTTGCCTACATTTATATTCTTTCTCCCAATGTTAAGGCGCAGGTTTTATACATTTGCAGTTGAGTTTAGAATCCAATGTATGCAATTGGAAATAGATAAATACATAGGATCCAGTGTTGGTTGGTTGATGAAAAGTGTTCTTTTATCAAATGTTATCCATGCTTTTATTACAGCATTGATGCAGAATCGAATCCTTAAAAAAAGGGGTCAAGGGGAGGTTATCAATGGTGCATGGCACCAAATGCCAACAAAAAAACGTGGCTAGTTGGTTCAACCTCTCAAGTGTTAAAATTAGGGATGAAAACGAATCCAGTTTTTCACATGTTATTTGAGGCTGGGTTATGAAAAGTTTGATTTGGCTTGGTCTAAATTGAGTTTTGAGTTCAAGCCTGAAAAAGTTTTGCGAGCCTAATTTTTATTATTTATACACAAATAATTTGTATTATATATAGGGTGGAATACAAAAACCTCCTCTGATGTTTCTGACAATCATAAAAACCACCCCTCGAGTTTCACTTTAACAAAACCTCCCCTGAACTTGTAAAAAACTCAACATAAACCTCCCCTCCATCAATATCCCAGACGGAAAACGTTTGTTTGATGCATTAGTTTTCTTAAATGCCCATTTTACCCTTTTTGTATAGGATGTCACATAAAATGAAATAAACTTTTAAATTAACCTATTTGCCGCCCTTTTTTCTCCCTAAAACACCATCCATTTCAAACTCATGGACTTAGATGCTTGTTTTGGTGTAAAATAGGTAAAATCATGGCATTCAGTACTTTCTTTTATAATGGTCTCTAATAGCTTGTTGAGTGCTAGGCCAAACTAACAACCAAGTGAAGAACCTTTAGAACACGCATTTGAACAAGAAGCTTGGGATAAGAAAGTAAAATGGCAAACTTGGTGTTTCTTCATCACTAACAAGCTTGAAAAGATGCAGTGAAATAGAGGAAGTTCTTAAGTTCTCCACGAATTCAAATTCTGATCTTCAACTACTAGTGACAACAACAATGCTAAGCCCGTCCAACCCAAAGTGAACTAAGCTTTCAAAACACTGTTGAAGCATTGAACAAACAAGATCCAATTGTCAGTGAATGTTTTGCGAGTTCTTTTTTGGCCTTTTATATATGATTTAAATTCAAATTCCCCTAGCTTGACAAATATCTCTCTCTCTCTCTCTCTGAGCAAGAAAAAAAGGGTAAATATTCCTTTGTTGTCGGTTTTAGTAGCCTCCAAAAGTAATGCATGGGTGTTATATTAACTTTCCATCTTTGAATAAGTGATGCATCCAAGCACTTAATTTTACTAGATAAACAATGTTTTGAATTCAAGCAAATGCAAATGAAATTGGAGTGGTTATTACGTATAATTAAACTGTCAAACAACCAAGGAGAAGGGTGCACAATGCACTCCTCTTTCCACTCAAAATGGATAACATGACGATTCTGAAGGAGTTGTGGTTCAAACTGGTTGGTTCAGACAAGACAGGGAGCATCATTGCCCCTCAGCTCAAGAGAGCTCTAGCATTTGGAAACCTAGAATTCCTTCTCTACATTGTCCATAGATGATCAGAATGTATGATTTTGATCAAAATGGAACAATGAGCATTGAAGAATTTGTTCCTTTTAACAAGTTTCTTCTTAAGGTTCAACAAGCTTTTTCAAACCTAGAAAGAGGTCGTGGGTTTCTTGTTCCTAATGATGTTTATGAGGCTTTGATAAAGGTTGGGTTTTTCCTAGACTCTCTTGTTTTTTATACAGTCTCTAAGAGCTTATATCAGAAGAAGAAAGGAAGATTCCGGGTGAATGATTTTATAGCACTTTGTATATTTTTACAGTTTGTTTACTACATGGGTTGCCAACTGTAGAATATGAGAAATCAAAGTACACCATGTTCTCCTCCTCATCTAAAGATACCCTCAAAATTCTTTTGGTATTTGAGGAAATTGTGGCAGATCTAAAGCGTTTTGGGTATGCATGAGTGTGAACTTCTTTCTTCATGACTATTCTAGTGCCTGGATTGAAAGTGAACACGAGATATGAGATCTGTTGTCCATATTTCTCTGTATAAGCATTATAAGTGTGTATTAATTGTTGGATTTCCAATGAACTAATGGACATGGTTGAGGTAAAAAAAATGGAGTGCTCTCTACCAAATTGATTTATCAACAATAAGAACTACTTGCTTTTACCGTAACAGGTTTGTATACCGTCTCCATGGCATATGTCTGAACTTGCTGAAGTTTTAGGTAAGGCACATAATATAAAATATAGCCTATGTTCAGCTTTATCTTTGTTCTAAACCATAATTTATTCTAAGTTCAGAAAACAAAAAGGCAGAAAAGGAGGAGCAGGCGGGCGTTGCATATTGTGTTTTTAATATATTTTTTGTGCTTCAAAGATGGAGTATTTGTGTCTGTGTCTTCTCGATCCCCATCGACATCGTATCATGAACCATCTGTCGCCAATGCAGCTGTAGGGAGAAAAAAGGGAGGCATGAGTTTGAACTCGATGGAGTTTTAGGGAGAAAAAGGGGTGGCATGAGTTTCAACTCGATGGAGTTTCAGGAAGAAAAAAGGGCAGCAAATGGGTTACTCAATTTAAAGTTTATTTCATTTTATGTGACATGGTATACAAAAAAGGTAAAATGGGCATTTAAGAAAACTAATGCAACCGTCTGGGATAGAGACAGAGGGGAGGGTTTTATGATTCTCAGAAACTTTAGGGGAGGTTTTTGTATTTTACCCTTATATATATAATTAATAGTATTTTATATATAACAAATATATAAAATTTATATATATATAGATAAGTTTTTTAATTTAATTACAATTTAAATTAAATTTTCCTTTTCTATTATTCTTATTGGATTAGCTCATTAGCTCATAGGAATCTATATACTTAATCAACAGTATTTTATGAATTACAGTATTTATAAATTAATTAACTATATTTTGTATATAATAAATATAACAAATATATATATAGATAAGTTTTTTAATAAATATAGTATTTAAATTGTAATTAAATTTTCTTTTTCTATTATTCTTATTGGATTAGCTCATTAGCTCATAGGAATCTACATACTCAATGCCTGCATGAAACCATAACAATGTCATAATTATTATCCTAATTGGATTATCTCATTAGCTCATAGGAATTTATATACTTAGTGCCTATAGGAAACCATAACAATGTCATAATTATATCCTAATTGCATTGTCTCATTAACTCATAAGAATCTATATACTTAATGCCTACAGGAAACAAGAACAATATCATATGGAAAAGTTATTTGCTATAAACTCTCTCAAATGATTAAAAAGCTTAAGATGATTATAGTAAGGAAAGAGCTTGACATATCTATAAAACGGAAAACTGCTATTAAATGAACATACCCAAAATGTCAACTTTTTGGTTAGCCATGCAAAGGTTTTTTTGATGAGATCTTCTATACTATTAAATGAACATACAAGTGTTGCTATGAGTATTTCATTTTGATCTTATCTTATACATTTGATTATATTACTATGTATGTTTTGCTTTTGGTACAACTTTTTCATTTATTATATATGTTATTGGAGCAATTATTTATTTGGGCAACACTTCCTTTGTATATTCAAACTTGAAAGAAAAAAGAAATTCTTTTATTAGACAAACAGTAAGTTGATGTACTATATGTTCATGCATATTGATAAGTATTATTTAATTTAACATCATTTTAAATATTATTATTTATTTATTTTTGACAGATTGGTTTCAATGAGGTTCACTTTATGGGATATATTTGTTGATGTTATTGAATCGCATGCTTTATAAATAAAAGAAGAATTTACAATTATTATTGGAAGTTGCGTAAAAGTTGTGCATTATAGACGTAACTTTATATTTTGATATATTTAAAATTAAAAATAATATAATTTTCTCTTACATTAAAGAATTTGACAACAAGACAAACTATAACGATTGTAAAGAACACAAAATTGTCTTTCAATTCCTTCACTACAGAGGATGAATTACTTCAATCATGATAAATAATATTTAATAATAATTGATATAATTGAACTATTTCTATGAATTAATTTAATATTTATTTGTTTACCTTACAGGTTTGATGACAATGAAAAAGCAATCAAGATGGTTTAACACTATTATAAAATGTGGAGAGTTTAAAGTAGTTTTTTTCATAGAAATTACATTAATAAAGTCTATTATTTTGTTACATTAATTACACTAATACATTAGTGATATCTATTTTTTTTGCTACATTATTTTATTTCACTTTTTTACCAAATTCCATGCGTCACACACGGGTCCCTACTAGTTAACCAGAATATAACATAATTCATAATCTTATAACTACTTATGAAAAGCTTCCACTCAAACTC